GGGTGTAAAGGATTAACATAGAGCACGTTTAAGGTGAACACCAACCTTCTCTAGGTTCACATCCATACAGCTCCAGCTTGAGACAAGGCTCCGTGTCTTTTCTTTTACCCAATATCGGGTGTAACCGAATCAGACGAGCAGTCAGCGGCTGTGTCAAATTATTTTCCTTGGGAATATACGCGTTTCTATTACCCTCAAATTCCTAAAACAAAAGTATATGGTACAGTCAATATCTTAACATAAATTCTCCCTACAGTCTGTCACACATTTCTTTTACATTTATTTGGAGAATTCAGTGCCAAACTTAGCAATATTCAGATGAAGATAACTCACCGTAACCTTGCCATGGACTGTGTAATTGAACCACTTTGTGTTGTCATAGCTGAATGTTAACTTGAATTTTTCAACGTAGTTACCATAGCCGCCCTGAGTATCCACTTTTGTGATGGTGTGGGGCGTAAGAAGATCTATTTGAATATACGGACTGTCATCTGTATCTTTTGGACACCAACCACCAACACTGGTAAGCAAAATGAAAATGTGTAACTTCAATAAGGGCTACATTCTTTGCTATAGAGCGCATTTCGACTGAGTGTCGTAAAACCAAAACCAAAGTAATCACAATGACCAATCAAAAAAAAAGGGAAATACCTTTAAGAGCCAATGAGAACTTAGAGTAAAACCGACCAATCAGCCTAAAGCGCGGGAAAACGCCAGCGACCAAGTCGTGATTGCTTTCAGATTCGTATCTCATTGGGTGATTATTTTCTTTATTTTCGTGACTTACATGTTTGATTCAGGGGCGATTTGGTGGGGAGAACCTACCTCATTTGTTACTGTTATTGGTACTAACATGACAACCATTGAAAAGAACTCGTATTTTAACTAAAACAAGAAAAAAGTGAACACTTACCCATGGAGCCTAGCTTTTGCCGGCATTGAATTGGATGTTCTGTAAGAAGAAGCAGTGATCTGTTCGTCTTTGATTTTCACCTTGCCTTGAACAGACTCCATTCCAAGAGCTGAGTAGCACCCTTGAACACCAAAAATTAAAAAAAAATCAACATAACGATACATCTGATACATGGATGAATCAATGGACAGTGTCACTCCATCCGTTCTTTCCAACCATCCGAATTTTAAGCTTTGAATAATCCCACGGTAAATCAACCCTGATTCACGACATCACGACGCAAATTATCCCTATCACCACTAAGATCTAACTAGCACTTCTCTGCGCTGTTCGTATACATTTCTTGTACATCTAGCTCAGAGAATTTCCGATCTTTTCACTTTTTCTCCCAACTTTCTGCTTGAAAATGTATCGATATCTGAGGGAGAGAGTCATTTTTGGTCACTGTTAGGAGATTACGCAAAGGCAGTGCAAGGACAAACGACTTTCAAAAAACTAAGAATAAAGGGGGTAAAGTTTCTAAAGAAACTGTGGTGCTGCGTCGGTGGGAGAGTATAGCAGGTAATTTAGAGTTAACAACTGAGTTGAAAACGTAAATTGGCCACCATAAAGAGATAAACGGCTAACGTCGCTCTGACGAAGGGCTAACGCTCTAAACGTCAGAGCGACGAAGGGCTAACGCTCGAAACGTCAGCCTTTTAACTCGATACGGTGGCCAATTTACGTTTTCAAATCAGTTGTCAACACTAAATTACCTGCTTTAAAAACTACGTCCTGCGTTAAAGACCAAACCCACATATGTGTAAATACACGACATCGCAATCACCTCGAAACAATGTCCGAAAATAAATTGGCTTTAGCGAGACTAGCGAAATCCTTGCTACCTTACTTAACGATCTTAATGCAACAAAAACAATAAAAACTTAAGCTCTGATAGTTTAAAGCTGTGATTTTCATGAGCGAATTGAATACTCCATCAGGGTAGTACAAAAACAGCAAACTTGAGTAGGCGGTCTGTATCAGGCTTTACACGAAAACCCTGAAATCATCCCGTGATCTTTTACTTTTTCACACAAATCAGAAATTTAAAAGCAACCTCAAAATTTGGCCCCTTAATTCCACAAAATCATCAGGATTTCACTCAAAAACTAATACAAATTGACCATATTTAATGATGAGGTGATGTTCCTCGGCGCACATGTAGAATTGAAAAGTATCGAGCGCTTCTAGAAATAACAAATGAAGACTAGCATATGAAACGTACCTAACTGAGTGAAGTAGAACAAAATCACCAATGCCCCAATACGAAATGTGGCGTGAATACGAGAAAAAGCGTTCATTTTTCTTTGTTCTGCCATAATCCAAGCCGCCTATTCAAATCACATATCTGCGCGTTCTTTTGTCGAAGCGCAGAAACGAAATTTAATTTTAATAATCTTTCGCCGGAAAATACAAACATTGGGTGTGATAATACTACGCCACTCATTGAAATGGTAATTTCGGTCTGAATGAAACAACGACACAATTTTAGGAAGGTCCTGTCAAATAAATAAGCGAAATTAGATCAAAACTTTTGATCAGTGTAATAAAATCGTAAAATATTTCTCGTTAAAGAAAGCAAAGCTTGCTCGGGAGGACAAAATCGAAAATTGCAAGTATCAAAGCGAACTGATGACATTATTGTTCAGTTATCAGAAGAATGCAACACTTTTCCCAGATGTCATTTCGATGGCTTGTTTTGACTAATCTTCAACAAATAAATCCTTCCGCTTGTTCAGACTTGGTGACTATCAACAGTATCCCTTAGCTCAGCTTATCCGGTGGTTTTAGCGAGATTTTAACATTAGCATCCGCGCGCTAATAACGAACAACTCTCCTTAACCAATTTATCGTTAATAAGGGAGACACTCCATAATTTCCTCTATCGATGAACTTAGAAAATGGTCCGGGTTCTTGTTGTTGAGTACTATACGTGACTCAACAGACACGAGGAAAATGACATCACTGGAATGTTTGCTTACATCTCTCCTACTACACTGAATTTCCAAAAGTACAACAAACATTATGACATTATGACAGATGTCACACACGTAGATCCTGAAGGCACCAGGATGTTGTTCCTAAATTTAAAAATTCTCTCCTTCTACGTCAAAACCATTACACAGCAAATATTTCTCTGAATTAGATGATCCAAATAAATATGGCTAAGTGATACTTTTGAGTATAAACAGTGACAAAAACTCCCCAGCGTTTCTGGGTTAGGTTGTAAGATGCTGGTTCACAAACTCGCGGACATATTTGTTTAGGCGTTCCTTGCCTTTAGAAACTTGAACAAACAACACGGCCTGCCGTGATGTGAGTCACACACGTAACTCGTGTCATTTCTGCCATGTTGTCAAAGATTCCTTCTCCCCACACAATGATGAAGGCGAGACCTCATTCAGTGCTACTAATCTACTAAAGTTGACACTAGGACTCATACAACAGTTACATAGGTTTATAAGCGTAAAGGCTAAGGCAAATGGTAGATTTTTGTGATTTCCCTCTAGTCTCTAACTCATTTCTAACAATAATTTAGTACAAAAATAAAAGGCTACACTCAGTTAAAGAAAATAAGACACAGAACAGACAATAAGCAAAATAACGGTCGGTCTATCATTCAGAGCTTGGCCTGAAAAATTTCACCTCGTCATTTACAATCACTGTAAATATTCTCCATCTTTGTTCCTTAATGGTCTATTATCTCATCTGTGTTTTTCTACCACTCATGTTTTTTAGAAAATTACAATCCGTGTCAATCTTCTCAAATTCTATGCCATCCTCGTTCCTTCTGGGTCTATTATCGTCTCTAAGGTGTTTTTCAATCTTACTGAACTCATATTTTTAAGAAAATTACAATTCGTGTCAATCTTCGCAAGTCAAAAGCCATCGTCGTTCCTTCTGGGTCTATTATCGTCTCTAAAGTGTTTTTCTATCTCACTGGTTTAATTTTTTAATTTTTTTACAATTTGTGTCAATCCTCTCAAATTCTGAGCCATCCTCGTTCCTTCTGGGTCTATTATCGTCTGTAAGGTGTTTTTCTGTCCCACTGAACTAATATTTTTTAAGAAAATTACAATCTGTGTCAATCTCCTCAAATTCTGAGCCATTCTCGTTCCTTCTTGAACTCTTATCGTCTCTAAAGTGTTTTTCTATCTCACTGAACTCATATTTTGTAGAAAATTACAATCCGTGTCAATCTCCTCAATTCTAAGCCATCCTCGTTCCCTCTGAGTCTATTATCGTCTCTAAAGTGTTTTTCTATCTTACTAAACTAATATTCTTTAGTCATTTATAATCCATGCTTATCTTCACTATCCTAACCCATCTTCCTTCCTTTTTAGTATTTTTAATCACCTCTTAGGTGTTTTTCTAAACTACCAAACGATTATTTCAAGGTTTTACTCTAAACGCAGTTCTCTGTGATGATAAAAACGACTCAAATTATAGCAACATAAATTCGTTAGAACACTTTTAAATTGAGTGCTCAAAGTAATCTGGGACTACAATGGCCTAGAAATCTTACACCACCCTTTCAGTTGATCAGATGCAAAACCAAAACCAATCGCGTTTTCCCGCCCTGCAGAAACTTTACTAGCTTCCACTTTTAGTTCTGATTGGCTAATTGTTGGTATTTTTCGATTGCTCTGATTGGCTAATGTAAATACTTTGGTACATTATTGAAGGTGGTTAGATGTTAACCACTGCTTTACAAAGCCAAGATATGGTAGAAGCTGTCCCTTATCATTTTGTTCACTTTGTTTCCAGCACTGTTTGGGACATGAGTAAGTTAGAGCACATGCTGCTACAGGAAAAACCATTTGTAGAAATTTCACTTTGTATTTCTTAGTCAAACAATGAAGGAAAGTGATCATTGTTTAAAATTGATATATCTAGAAGTTTCAGGGGGTTTTCAAGGAAATGGGAGAATTGTGCTTTTAAGATAATTTTGATTTACTAACTAAAGAGCTTTCAGGGAAGAGTTCTTGATATTTTGTGAAGTAAGCACATATAAACATGAACCTTAAAAACAAAAACAGGTCCGACTGTATACAATAATTCTAACATAAACCTAGCTAAATGTTTCTTCATGGCACCTTAGAAATTGATAAGTTTCATGATAGCTATACTGAAAACTTGTCTTGTATTCTATAAGCCATTCATGCATTTGTCATTGACAAATTAAGAGTGAAATATTTTGCTGAGTACATAACATCATCCCGATGTAGTGTCTCAATTCCCATAATATAAATGTGAGGGTAGAGTCTACCTTGGCAAAAAGTGCTCAATGCTGTAGTAGCAGAGCTGAGCATATATAAGTGAAAGAATCAAAGAGAACACATTGATTCTCTGTGACTCTGAGTTTCGCACCTAAGTGCTCGTCAGACAGAACTTTCACTTGTCAGACAGTTCTGTCTGACGAGCGCTTAGGTGCGAAACTCAGAATCACAGAGAATTGATGCGTCCTCTTTGATTCTTTAATATTTATTAATATTTTAACAATGTGACACTCTCTATACTTTTTAAGACGCAGGTGCATAAGATTTTGTCTTAGATAAAAGCCTTTATACTTAATCGTCTAGCCTGTATATCATATCGGAAGCACTCTGGTTAAGAAAACAATGAGCATAGGGATCATGCATATCCAAACTTTTCCAGAACTCACAATCTATTGGAGAATTCCTACATTTCTTTTTGTTTCCTTTCCTTTTTTTAATTATGGATATG